TGTCTTGTTATTTTGGCTATGTGTAGCGATGATTTTTTGCGCAAAAATTGCCATTATACAAGCCAAAATAACAAGTCAAAGAATTGCACAAACTCAGTATCCATGTACCGCCAAAAATCGCCAAAGGATACCCGCAAATATACTTTTACCAGCACATTGTCACTGTTTTTATTATTTTCACTGAAGATGATGAGAAATTTATTTCAGCCACACAAGTATACCATGCTGCAAAAGAAATATACAATTTTCTTAATGTAGATATTACTTAAATTTTTTCCCCTGTTTCAATTTCTGATGCATCTAAAGAAATATCTTTCTCTGTCTTAAGAAGGGAGAGGATAATTTTTAAGAAGTATGATTCCTTTCTTATGGCTCTATTATATACTGAACAAGAATTACTAAAGTACATCTGTACTTAGAAAATAATTGATAAATTTGCTAGTAAGAAGTGAAGGGAAAATGTTATTAAACCTTTTACTTAATAGTCATCTAATTTAATAACAAATTCTTTTAATTTTAAAATATTCCATTAAATGTTTTAAGAGTTTGATGTTTTATTTCGCTTCAAAAAGAATATTTAATTTTTTTAACATATCTGATGTAGAGGAAACAATATAATATTTATAAAAATATAAACATTTTAAAATTGAAACAGAGAGGCATGTAAATACTTTATTGGGAACCTGATAAATTTTACTGCCAACAGTCATCAAACTCATTTAATCTGCCTCTGATTCTCCCAAGTTAAAAATAAAGTTCCATCAGAGGATCAAAAAAGGTACTTACCCGTTAAAGTGGCCCTTTTGTTCCTGCTGAATACTAAAGATAATAAAGCCTCTTCCTTTAATAAGTAATTACAAATCATTCTTTATATAATAACATAATTGGCACATATATATCATACAGACAATATTCCAGTCAGCTACTGTCTTCTTGGCTATATCGATTCTCACACTCAACAAATGTCAATTCACTTTGGTAACTGTTAATGAAGTAGAGTAAAGCTATAACTGTAATTTTAGAGCACTTTGACTACATTCCTTTTCACATGGATATTCACTCATTGCATAGCCATTGTTTATCCATATTCAAATAAAGTACTATATCATGGCCATTATAACAAATACTATTATTTGATATTATGGACTCATTACTCTTAAAGTACTTCACTGCTTGCTGATCTGTTGAAGTTCCAAATTTGAATTACTGTTTTCAAAATGTAAGAAAAAATGCAGCAATAATATTTAATTTATATCCTTCCACACAAAAATATCAGTGACTTATTGAGCATTCAGTAGGGTGCATAAAATGAAGTAATAATGTTATGAATGTATTTTGACATCACTCTTATCCATTAATGGCACTTAAATCATGTTGCTGGATGACGGTTTTACAATAGACAGAAAATATGTAAATGCCATAAAAACATAGAGAAGATTTTGAATAAATGGAAAGGTTTCAAGAGTTACACATTTTATCAAATGTCTTAATATATTTCACACATATGGGGTTGCTCTACAGCAGAGGCATAAACAAGATTTGACTAAAAACATTCGAGAAAGCATCTATTTCTCTTTTGCAAAATCAGATGTGAGATCAGATCAAACAAATCAAATCAGATCAGACAAATTATAAACTCAGATCGGTTTAATAATGTTAAACATTAAGTGGGTTTATCTGGGAGCTGGACAATTCTGGTCTTTAGTATTTGGTCACAATATGGGGTACCTAATATATTATTAGGTACTCCATATTGTGACAAAGATTGATTCAAGTTCGTCATCAGTAAGTACCTATTATTATTTCATAAAGGGCATGAGGAAAAATAGCTATCACTAACAGCAGCTCTGTGATTAGATTCTGCATTTAATTCAGAAAGAGCCAAGTTTATCAAAAAGTACATAAAGTCACAGTACACATATGGTACTGAAACATTTAGTCATGCTTGGGAATTTAAGTATTAGAAGTATTTGATACTGGTAATATACATGTGACATATATAGCACATCTGGGCAGTCAACAGATGCAAGCGTTAATTATTAACGGTTACACAGTGGACAGTGCCTATTTTACAAAAATATCTTGAAAACCATTTGAATGAAGCCAAAAGAAAAACTTATCTGTACATGAAACCTGTGCTCAAAGATAATATAATCTATATATTGATGCTATGATAAAGGCAGCAGAATCTGAAATTCATAATACTGTACATATAATCTTAACTCATTGATATCTCATTTTTGGGCAGTCTGAATATTTAAGATGTTACTAGGTAGGAGGTTCTCTTTCAATCAGGAAAAAACAAAAATGTTAACCTGCAGTGCTAATTAAGACATCACAAAACAAAACATTTCACGTCTTTTAACATTTACATACCACTGTAAAAAAGGACTCTAGTGTAAAAGATTCAAATTTGGGAACGGGTAAGGAAATACAAAACTCCTAAAGTCAACAGATTCTGATTAAGACAAAAAGTTTAAACCTCTTCTATCAGCCTGATCATACATTAAGTGAAACATCTCTTTCATCACAGGATTTCTTACAGAGGACAGATAAGCAAATCCTGCTGTAAGCCAGTATTCCTTTAAAATGACTTACAATTTTTCTTCCATAAATTAAATATTTCTCTTGTGCAAACAAACAAATGGTTAAAGACAGTATTTTGATCCAGAGACAAACTACATACCTAACAGTGAGGTTTACTTCCCACATAGAAAAATTTTTATTGCATTGATAAGTGAAGATTCCTCAAGACACAAAAGTTTTTTTCTACAAATATACACATTTCCTGAAATTGATTTTCTGCCCAAATGCTTTAGTATAAATTAATCTTTCGAAACCTAAGGTTCCTTTTTGTGTGAAAATGTACATACTTGTTTAAATGATTTGTTACATAAATAATATAGATGGCATTTCTCTCTTGTATGAAAAAGCGTTCTTAAATTACTCTTTTCTCAAAATCATTTCAAACATACCTCAATTCTTCTCTTCAGTATGAATAAGCGTATGCTTATTTAAGCTATTCTTATGTCTGAATGATATCTTACATAGTTCACATATATGAGGTTTCTCTCCAGTGTGAATAAGCATATGCTTGTTTAAATTAAACTTTCTACTAAATGATTTCTTACATACTTCACAAATGTGAATTTTCTCTCCAGTATGAATAAGCATATGCATGTCTAAAGTACGCTTATGTCTAAATGACTTCTTACAAACTACACACACATGAGGTTTCTCTCCTGTGTGAGTAAGCATATGCTCGTTTAAATCACGCTTTTGTCTCCATGACTTGCTACATACAACACACACATGAGGTTTCTCTCCTGTATGAATGAGCATATGCTTGTTTAAACTACACTTCTGATGAAATGACTTGTTACATACTTCACAAGCATTATGTTTCTCTCCTGTGTGAACAAGTATATGCTCGTTTAAACTACGCTTTTGACAAAATGACTTGTTACATATGTTACACACATGAGGTTTCTCTCCTGTGTGAATACGTGCATGTTGCTTTAAAATATACTTTTCTCTAAATGACTTGTTACATACCTGACACAAATGAGGTTTCTCTCCTGTATGAATAACCATATGATTGCTTAAATTGCCATACTGTCTAAATGAGAGATTACATACCTCACAAACATGAGGTTTCTCTCCTGTATGAAGAAGCATATGAGTGTTCAAACCTCCCTTTAATCTGAATGACTTATTACATATCTCACACACATGTGGTTTCTCTAGTGTGTGAATAAGCATATGCGTGTTTATATCATATTTTGTTCTAAATGAGTGATTACATTTTTCACACACATGAGGTTTCTCTCCTGTGTGAATAAGTATATGTCGCTTTAAACTAACCATATGTCTAAATGACTTTTTACATATATCACACACATGAGGTTTCTCTCCTGTGTGAATAAGCATATGCTTATTTAAACTGCATTTTTGTGTAAATGACTGGTTGCATTCCTCACACACATGAGGTTTCTCTCCTGTAAAAGTATGCATGTGCTCTTTCAGAATAATGTTTTTCCTTAAAGATTTGCTATACACCTTTTAGAACACGAAACTTCTGCCCTATGCAAGTACTAAATGCCTAGTAAGTAACAATTTTGAAATCATATACTTACTGCATATCTAATTGGATGCAAAATGAGTTGCTTAACAGTACATTTTACCTAAACTTGTTCTTAAATGCTTCCCACTAGCATTCGATATCTTCTTGCAGATACACATATTTGATTTAAAAGGTATTAATGCATTATTCATGAGAGATCTCTAGTGTGTGATAGAAGCATGCCTTGATTTCCAGGAACGCTTCATTAAACATTAATTTATTTATTTTATCTCACACAAGTACGATTTCTTCCCCGAGTATATGTATGATTAATTATGAATTTATGCAATTATGCAATATATGGTACTGTATATTAAGTTTCGATTTTTCTACAGATGGCAGTCAGTGCTTCTTCAGTTTGACAAAAATTACTTTACCCTCCACATTTCACCGCACACAGTTTGCAGAGTGTTTTATAAGCACAGCATCAAAAGATACTTCATATTGATTTAGCAAAAAATACTCTCATTTATTACCCAGTATACACATTAAGCTAATCTATAATAATAATTTGTCCTCACCAAAGAATATAAATATTTTCGGAAGGTTTATCTTACGCACCGACAGACAGCCGTTTTCTTTTGCACCGCACCCTCTAAGTATTTCTGCCCGCAAGGCGAAAAATCAAACAAAGTCAATTTAGAAGTAAAGGTTAAATAATCTTCTCTGTATTGTTTCAATTTTAGTACATGTACTGCTGAAGACATAAAGCAAAGAACGTCTATCTCTAACAACACATATTCTTTGCGTAAAACCTATGAGCCTCATAATTGAACCCTTCCTTTATCCTACGTATTCCTTCCTCTTTAACTGAAGTTTGATTTTTCGCCGTGCGGGCAGAAATACTTAAAGAGTGCAAAACAAGATGTCTCTGTGTCTCTCGCATCAAGGTTCTTTAGGTCTAAGGCTGACCATGACGAGCGTTGCTGTTGAATTCACCGATGCAGTTTTCGCCCATTGATGCAGAAAGACTTAGCGGGTGAAAAACAAGACATCTGTCAACTTTGTATGTTTAACAATACCTCATATGTACCTGGGTTGCGTGTCATCGTTCAGGCAATCACCCCGATCTCTCTCAACATAGTTGCTAAAATTGTCAGCTTCACGTCGAAAGATATGCCTACTACAATATTTCTGTCTGATGTTCGAAAAGAGATACAGATTCGCCAGGGATAGGGCGCTTCAGCCGGGGAGTCCTTTACAAGGATCAGTTTGTTCTTCGATAGACGTAGTCGTAATATAGTGTAAATTCTTAATTAAGCATGTAGATATACTCGGGGGAAAAATTATATTTCTGTGAATACATAATGAATTTTTAATGAAGTGCTACTAGAAATTAAGGCATGCTTGTATCATTCGCTAGGTAAGTCTCTTGCACAATATGTATTGCTGCTTTTATGAAGATATTCACATAAGTATTTTTGCAAGATACTGAATGCTAGCTTGAAGCATCCAAAAACTAGTTTAGGTTGTACTGGCAAGAAACAACCATTTAATCAGAAACTATGTTAAATAAAAACACCATCTGTACAAATGAACCCTTATTTATTTGGCCTATTCAGTAATAAAACGTAGTGAATTAACATAACTAAAAAATTGAAGATAACCAAAAGAATGAGAGAAAATATCTGGGCAATAATTAAAAGGAATGTAATGTTAAATAAGATTATACCAGTGACAATGTAATTTTGATTGAAAAGAATAGTACTGTCACTGGGTTATTTAACTATGCTTCTTTTGGCACATTTGTCTCTCACTCCATAAGATTAGGAACTTCTTGAATTAAACCACTGTGTTTAATTTTTGTAGACATTTGTTTTCCTCAGAGACTGGCGTGAGTAATTTACGTCATCTTCCTTGACTGCAATTGTGCTAGTTCGGCATAATAGCTGCAATTCTGACCATCAAGACTTTATATACAGCAGATGCACGCGGTTGATTCAAATACCAAACAGTCATCTGCCACCTTGAGGATGCATTGTGAAATTTATTTATAGAAATCTTAACAACCACAGGGTAAAATTTATCTTAATCAGTCCCTGTTACATCTATGCAGAACTAAAATATCATTTTGACATATGAAGCAAGTTATGTGATATCAAGGTTTCCCAAACACTTTGTATAAAAGATAAACTTCACCCCTAAGAGCTACGTAACAGATCATTTGGAAAAAGCAACATTTTAAATGCATGTTGTTCGTATCCATGCAGGACAGACATGTGATGGATGAGGCGCACAATCAATCATTTGAATTAAACCATACTTTGAACAAGCAAATGATTACACACACACTGCAGAGACCTCATGTGTGTGATGTATGTAACAAACCATTTACCCATAAGGGTAGTTTGCTCAAGCATATGCTTACTCACACAGAAGAGAAACCTCATGTGTGTGAGGACTGTAACCAATCATATAGATATAAAGGTGATTTAAGAAGGCATATGCTAATTCATACAGGAGAGAAACCTCATGTGTGTGAATTCTGTAACAAATCATTTAGCCGAAAAGGTAATTTAAAAACGCATGTGCTTATTCATGCACGACAGGAACTTAATGTGGGTGAGGTACATAACAAGTCTTTTACTCCAAAGAGGTATATAATGCGCAGTATGCCTAAACACCTGGGAAAGGAACCTTATGTATGTGAAGTATGTAATAAATCATTTAGTTATAAGGGTAATTTAAAAGTCCATATGATGATTCACACAGGAGAGAAACTTCACGTATGCAAGCTATGTAATAGGTCATTTACTCAAAAGCCCGCTTTAAACAACCATATGCTTCTTCACACAGGAGAAAAGCCTCATGTGTGTGAAATATGTAGGAAGTCATTTAGAATGAAGAGTGCTTTAAATAGGCATATGCTTTTCCACACAGGAGAGAAACCTTTTGTGTGCGAAGTATGTAACAAATCATATAGACAGAAATGTGAATTAAACTTGCATATGCTTATCCACACAGGAGAGAAACCTTATGTGTGTGAAGTATGTAACAAATCATTTAGATCAAAATGGGAATTAAATGCACATATGCGTTTCCACACAGGAGAAAAACCGTATGTGTGTGAAATATGCAATGAATCATTTCTTCATGCAAGCTATTTAAGGGAGCATATGTTTGTTCACACAGGAGAGAATGTGTGTGAAATATGTAACAGATCATTTCTTCGTAAAAGTTCTTTAAAGGAGCATATGTTTATTCACACAGGAGAGAAACCTTATGAGTGCGAAATATGTAAAATATCATTTCGACAAAGGGCTACTCTAAGGAATCATTTGTCTATTCACACTGGAAAGAAGCCTCATGTCTGTGAGGTATGTCAAAAGTCATTGACAAGTAAAGATATATTAAACAAACATATGCGTAAGCACACAGGCGATAAACCTTGATTATGCTATGTGTTAAAATGGCATTTAACTCTTCAAACTCGAGTTTGGGTCTATAACACAAAATTCCTGAAAACTATAATGAGAATGAGGTATTTTAAATTAAAATGTCAGAATGCTGTTAGTTTTCACCTCAAATCAGTCTTTTTTAATACATTAATTTCTTAGATACATTTCATGATGCACATAAAGGTATACTTATTCAGTGATGCTAGAAAAAGCCATACATGAATTTCCTTGCTGGCTGGAGAATTAAATGTTTAATTTAAATAATCTTTTCCATATTCTCATAGAAGAGAAACTTTGCATGTGTGAGATACGTAGGAAGTCAAAATCAGAATATAAACAAGCATGTTCTTATCCACACAGCAGAGAATATCATGAGTTGTTTGGTACGAAGAAGAATTTAAAGAAACATGTTGTTTGTTAATAAAAACCGTTATTATATATGCAATAAGGATTTGTCTATGCTGTAAAATAACCTCATTAAATCAGGTATGTCATTTGTTTTTTGTTCTAAATGCTTAATAAACCTTTTTTTTTTCTCCTTTATAAACCATGCCCTTCATTAAGCAGTATGAGAATCAAACAAATCTCATTTAAGCAGGATAAGTATGTCTGCAGGACACATAGATGATTTTAAAGGAATCTTTATCTAAAGCAGTATTTGTTTATCCTAGTATTTTATAACAAGCCAACTTATGAGCGAAAGATTTAAAGCAAGGTGGCTTTAAGAGTTTTGCATTTCCCCTACTGTCCAATTTAAAATTTGGTTAATCTTTGGATTATGGTAAGTTGGCGATTTTTTGGCGACCAACCCTGCTACAGCAACCTGCTAGTTTTTCTTTGGACGCCATTTTGTTTTCATAAAGAAAAGGCGTGTTTTTTCCTTTTTTTTTTTTAACTCAAAATTTTTTTCCAATAATCTGCCAGCTGAATTGCGCTTATGCTAGAACTTATATGGAACAAAAGTGCTTAATCATGAGGAAGATTAGGTGCGAAATTGGGAGAAAGTGCATAATCGCCCACTGCTTCGCGTGTTTTTAAGAAGTACACATATATGGTAACAGTGGCGGCTCGTGGCTAAATTTAGTGGGAGTGCTGTTCCAAAAAAATTTAACCTTTAAAAATTGTCTAAAAGGATTGGATTATTTAATTATGTCAAAGCACACGAGGCTATCTGCCTAAAGGGAGGATGCCTTCTGCAGGACCTTCTAAGAAACGGGCTTGTTACATGTTACACTGGAAAAACTACAAAACGCCGATGCAGTCAACCCGTCGGGGATTCGAACCTCGGACGAACTACCATGTTCAGCCGTCTTTACCGCTCGGCCGTGATGGCACAATTTTCTAAAGAAACAAACATGAAAAAAAAATTTATTTTAAACTTCATGAATCTTACAAGAAAAAAATTAAACATTTCCTAAATTACTAACCAAAATTGTTACATTTCTATCTTGTCTATTGATTTAAAATGAAATCCATTCTTTTGTTTTAATTTGCGCAAAAAGATCAATAATTTTCTCCTTGATCTCTGGATGACACTGAGGAATTTTTCTTTATTGAAGCATGCAGCGCATTTAGTCTTTCCGAAGTCCTAGTGCTTCTTAGAAAATTTTTATTCTTTTCATGTTGAAAAGCAGCGTTCTGCCTCTGATGTAGTCATGGGAACTATCAAGAGAATTTTCTGTTTTTGTAATTCACTAAGACATATCTAGATTATTTTCGAAGATAAATTTCAATAGCTCAATTAATTTGCAGTATTCATGGATATCAGACCCACAATCGAATACTTTTAGTTCGGTTTCAAGCTTTTCTTTGACAATCATTGGATGTGCTTCAGTGGTCAGTACTATTTTTTCTGTAGAATGTTCATTCCCAAAACTAGCAAAGCATTTCTTGTTTAACAACTGCTAAGTGTTTAGTGGTAGAATATCTGTGCCTTATATCAATACATAGTATAAACTCGCATATTTCCGTAGCTTCTGCTATCAATGTCTTTGGAAAATTCTCACAGTATTTTGAGTTTCTTAATTCTGAAATAGCAGTTTTGAAATATGTTACATATTCCTTAACTTTAAACACACTAATTTCTCTGGATTGTATTTACACTCATAAATTAAGGATAATTCGGACTCACGCGGAAATCGAACTCAAAAATAAATATATCACCTGTAAAATCACTACACACATCTTCAAGAATCATATGCAAATTTCAGGAAGTAACCAGATGACACCGATAGTATGTCACAATGACGAGAGTGTAAGAGAGTGTACGGGAATAAGGAATACGGGCAAAGAAGTAAAATTGTTCGCAGGCACTTTATAAGCATTTTAGTGCAATAACCGAATAGTTATGACACAAAGGACGCATTTGGATGATTTTTTACGTGGTAGAATTATTGGCCGTCTGGAATGTGGGCGTACCCAACTGGAAGTATCAGACGAACTTGGAATTGCCCAGAGTGTCATTTCCAGGCTTTGGCAACTATTCCAAGATGATGGTAATGTGAGTAGACGTTACAGCACAGGCTGCCCCAGAGTTACAAAGCCAAATGAGGACCGGTATTTGGCAGTTACTGCCAAAGGAAACAGGCGGATCACAGCCTCAGACCTGTCTCGTCAGCTCTCTTCAGCCACTGGTACGACAATTTCAAGGCAGACCGTGTACAGACGCTTAGGGCAGATTGGTCTATATGCTCGTAGACCTGTCAGATATGTTCCACTTACTGCAACTCACTGTCGCCTGCGGTTAGCCTGGAGTAGAGAGCATGCATTGTGGACACCGTAACAGAAGGCTTGTGTGATGTTTTCGCACGAGTCCAGGTTTAGCTTGCAGTCTGATTCTCACCAGACTTTCATATGGAGAGCTCCAGGTACCCATTACCACCAAGAAAACATCATTGAACGATACCGTTACGGTAGTGCAGGAGTGCTCGTTTGGCGTGGAATTATTCTGGGTTCCAGAACTGACCTGCATGTTCAAATTGGAACCATGACAAGCCAAATCTATTGTGACGTCATTCTGGAACAACATGTACGTTTGTTTTGAGGCGCCATGGGCGCACAATTTGTGTTTATGGATGACAACGCCCGTCCTCACTGTGCAAACATTGTAAGCGAATGCCTTCAATCGGAGGATATCACCGTATGGACTAGCCGACATTCTCACCAGACTTGAATCCAGTAGAGCACGTGTGGGACATGCTTGGCCGATGAGTTGCAGCCCGTCAACCTCCTCCTACATGTCTACCGGAACTTCGGAGAGCATTGATTTTTGAGTGGTGTAATATCCTCGAAGATCAGATCGATAATTTGATACTCAGCATGCCTAGGCATTGTACGGACTGTATTGCATCGTCTGGGAGACATACAATGTATTAACAGTCATACCAACCATGTAATGTTGGTTTTTTGTAAATAGTTTTTTTTTTTTTTTTTTTTTTTTTTTTTTGTAATTTGCTCCAGGGAGAAAAAATCGCTAATTTTTTTAATAATATTAAACATATAGCATCTTTTTTTGCTCTTTACCTTTTTTTTAATAAATAATCTTACAAATAAGTCAAATTTGTTTTGCTTCTAACTCTTCCTTTGCCTGATTTTGCATTATCCTTAATTTATGGACATGAGTGTAGTTTTATATTATTTCAACATGAGGCATCTGATAAAAAAGCTCTAAGCAAAACTTGAAATTATCATCATTTAGATATTTTAAAATTCCTGTTGCTTTTGCAATAGTTTGATCTGCATTTGGTGCTGAGTGAATTTCAGTAAGGCAATTTTTTAAAAGTTGCAAATTTTCATCAACTCTGTTTATGGTTCGTATGGTGAAGTTCCACCTTGTGGAGGAATACCACACGCGCGGAGTAAAAAGAAATCACGTTTTCAACAACATGCTAGAATTTCGGGACTGCAAGAATTACAGTGCTCTTCTCTCAACCCGCCTTGCGTGCTGCTTTTCTGTGTGCATATGCGCCACAGTTCCAAACAAATGAATTTCATACCTTTTTCACAAAGTGGGGAATGGTTACTGACATTAAGCTTAAGGATTATGTATTATAAAAGTATAAAGAAAGAATTAAAGACTAAAAGGCACACTATATTAAATATTAAAAAGTGGAAATAGGGGGTGCTACAGTTCCACAGTGCTTATTACGAGCCGCCACTGCATAGTAACCATGTACACGTCAACCTATTTTCACTTAAAAAGCATCCCAGAATTGCCCAAAAATGGCATTGTGCACACTCTTGACTTTATCCATGTACACTGCTAAAGTCCTAGCTAGTAACCTTTATCACCTTACCAAAATGTCACCAAACTACCTGTTATGAAGTTGATGTCAATTAAATTTTGTGAAAAGCAACTTGATTTATCGGATAAAACTGTTATAGATTGGAACAATTAATGTGAATTATGTCTCTCGGATATGGAGAATAAACCAAACAAGAAGGTGGGTGCACCAGATTGCATTGTGGAAAATGATGAAAGTTTGTTTACTAAGCGTAAAAATAATTGTGGTCGAGTATTACCTGAACAGTGGGTGTTTGGTGATATATGTAGAGAAACAAAAGATTTGTTTGCTGTCACTGTTCCTAATAGAACTGGCTCTACCCTTCTTAATAATTGAGAACATTGCAGATGGTAGCACAATTTATTCTGACAGTTGGAAAAGTTACCAAACAAATATAATAGAAAAAGAAGGACTCCTACATGCTTAGGTTAATCATAAATACAATTTTATTGATCCTGATACAGGAGTTTATATACAAACAATTGGGAGAATGTGAGGCAGTTCTAAATAGAGGAAGAAGAGACATAGGGGGACAGCAAGACATCATTTAGAATCTTAATTTAGCAGAGTTCATATGGCGACAGCATCAGGTCAAAGAAAATAGAGACTGTTTTGAATCTATGTTAAACTCTATATCGGTCCATTTTCCACCAAAATCCAATTGACTATTTTGATATTAAATAAAGTGTTTTAATTTATGATTTG